ACTGAAGAAATTATGAATTTATGGGGCCTGAAGAACGGCATTACAAGGGGTCACTGAATAGTTTGATGAGTATGAAAATGATGTAAATCATATGCTATGGACTTCACAGTGACCAGATCTCAACCCAACCTATGGTAGAGTCTACACCAAACTGTTAGCCTCACCACCACAATCACCTAAACACCAATTGAGCCTGTACAGTTACAGAGACATCTTGAAGATATTCTGGCTGCTCATTGTGGTCCAGTACCTTACCTTAAAGTCACTTCATGTCAGTTTTTCCTTTGTCAGCCATCTGTATGTACTTTACAACAGAACCTGCACCAAGAGACATTCCTTGTTCATTTTGTCCTTCATGAATAAAGATTCTTATTAGGAAATTTTCAGAAATGTTTCTACATAGAAAAAATGGTTCTGTGATTGTCGCAAGTGTACTACAGAAGACCCCTTTTGGCTAAGAGTGTAGGGTCCTAAAGAAGTTAGCATGGCAATGGTGAACCGCTCTTTCACTGTCTGTCTGAACACCCCCACCCCCCCACCCACCATTCCAATAACAAGCTATAAAGATCTCTGTCCGGCAGGCTTCGGGTCAGGGTGGAAGCGCTCACCTGAAAACGAGACCGCAAGGACACCTGCAGGCAGAACAGGCTGTTAAAGAGCGGGATCAATATTAACCTGACTTCCATTTCATGCTTGCCCAATTCCAATCAGCTAACAATATACTCAGGCCACGGCGAGTAAGGGGAGAAGCCGAAGCAGGATGAGACCCAGCCCAAATGGCTCGTTACACTGTCAGCGCAACTAATAGACGGAGAGGTGAGGTTTAAAAGCAGACTTTTTTTTCCACAAACGCACTTTTGCACTAAACCAGCACTAAAGGCTAATGGTCTCTGGAAATGTACATGGGAGCAGCGCAACTTTTGTTATTTATCAGCTGGTTATAAAACCTGGTCAAATAATTTGAGGTCTTATTAAACTTTGAACTTTCAAAATTACTGGGGGTTCGAAAATAGCCAAGGAAAATGATGATAAATCACAGTGAATTAGATATAATGATGTTGTTTCTATGGTGGCTCTACCATTTTTCTAACGAAACCGAAACATTTCTCATTTCCTATCACATCGTTTCGCTTGGAGGAGAGATGAAAAACTGTAAGCGAACACGTCTGACAATCTGACAAGCAGTTTGAAAATATGTCACTCTGAATAAATACAAGACCCTACTGACTTTAGCGAAAATGCCAGAGATTTGATTTGAGTGATTCGTCAAACTCTCCCATTCCAGGAACTCAAAAGAATGAGGCTTTATTTATGTTCGCCCTCACTGGTTATTTCCGCCTAACCACCTACCTTCACGCACTCGCAAAAGCAGCTGTGGGGCCCGAGAGACTTCTGTTCTGGGGATTTTTTGGAGTGGACCCCACCGTAAGTCCAGCTAACTACTCCATGATGTTTTCTCAGTTCAAGTCCAAGGTATTCTACCTGCTGAAAAGCTCAGCCAACCAACTTCCATGCTGCAACAATCCAAAGAAGACATGCTTTTTTGAAAATGGTGTCTTATAAAGGCCTGTATTTAGATGTGTTATGTATACTTCAGTTCACCACTTAGTGATAGTACTAATAATATCAGCAATAATATCTGATTTAAATTCATTTTGTCAATGGAATCAGATACAGGAGTATTTACAACAACAGAAAAACATTTATATCCTTAACAACAACAACTGAAAAACAATAAGAAAATGGCAAATCGGGCTCTCAAAAAGCCTGACCCTGACACAACACACCTGGGATTTGAATCTGTATTGCAGTGGTGGGACTAGGTGGGAGCCAGAGGTGGGATGGTTTGTTGGGTATAGATCGTTGTGTTTCTTTAACCTTCTAAGGCCCATCATGGCTCTAAATGGAACTGATTATGTAACTATGTAATTACATAATACTCTCGTAATATAAATGAAATGTACATCAAAACGACATTACTATCTGTAAGAGAAAACCTCTTTTGTATGAAGTCCATATAAGTAATAGGCCTGGACTATCCTTCTCCTCCCTCAGCGAGTCTGCATGGATTATACTACAGCCTATCCCTTTCACATGACAAGCTTATGCATTATTCCTCTCATTAGAGACTCAAAGAGTGCACAGAACTTCAACAAGTCCTCAATCACAGCAGCCTAAAGCCCCCAGCACTCTGATAGCACAGCAAGGACAAACGACAGAAGATGAGAAGCAGAACAGTTGAATATGTGCACTTGCGTATGATGTATAAGCCACTCTGTATGGAATAACAGAGGAATATTGAAATCTGTACAGTTTAACTGATGGATAAAAATCGACTCTATATATTTTGATTATGCAGTATTTTTTCTGGCTTTGTTTGAGCATATTTAAACCCCCCAACAGTGTCTTTGAAGAATTCTCTACAGATGTGTTTCATTTGGATACTAGCAGTACTTCAGAATACATTGATCTATAACCCTCAAAAGGGTCCATATGTTCAACTTCTATGTTAGTTTCATAGTAATTACCAAATAGATTATATTAGTTACTGAATAATAGGTCTTAAAATTAATTTAGGAGCTAAAAAAGGTAATTAACGTACCCTTACACAGCTTCAAGATGATAGTCAGGGGTTGTGTTACAGGAACATCCTAACTCTGAAATCTTATCTTAACCCTTTCATCACCATGGCAACTTCAAGAATAAATTCAGAAAAGTACCTTTTACAGAATAACATTAGTAACAAGGCCACTATCTTATCTCCAGATAGGAAACGAGCATTACAGAAACTTCTTAACTTGCCAAAAATCCCTACAGAGTGCCTTAAATTTCGGACATCCTCAGTGGTGTCCTAAGCTTTCATTTCTACTGTCAGTTATTCTATTGAAAAGAGGTTTTTAGACAACTTTAAGAGGCAGCCTAAGTTCTCCAACATTACATATTTATATTACAAAAATGCAGGGCAATAGAAACTGGAACTGAAAGCAGTGATATGTTATCCAGTGGGGTGATGCACTGCCACAGTATTGCTAACTTTATTTGACCAAGGTTCCTAAACTTTCCACTTCATCACACTTTGGTTTTGTTTTCATTGTTCACAAAGACAGCTGTCTAACTATACACCTAAAAAAGATGGTTCTTGAAGGGTTCTTTAGTAAAGAAAATGTTTCTAATCAGAACCATGAACACTCATTGAACCATGTGAATAATTACAGGGATTCTTTACATCATTAAATGGTTCTTCAGATCGATGGTAAATGTGCTGTAAATGGTTCTAAATAGAACCTTTTTGTCAAGTGTTCTTTTTATTGTTACAATGTCAAACTTGTAATAATAGAAGAACCCCCTTTGGTGCTATACAGAACTTTTTTCAAAAAGGTTCTATATAGAACCATCTACAGCACATTCTCCATCTATATGAAGAACTATTTTATGATGCAAAGATTGCTTTCAATCATGCAAATGGTTCTTTGCATGTTCATGGTTCTGTATAGAACCATTTTTTTACTAAAGAACCCTTGAAGAACCATGATTTTTAGGTGTGTGGGTAGTAGCTTCCTTTGTGAGCAAAGAAAAACAAAATCAAAGTGTGAAGAAATGGAAGTTTTAGTAACCTTTTTGGTGCTATGTAGAACCATATACAACACATTCTCCATCAATCTGAAATTAGCTACTTTTTTCCCGGTACCATTTCTCAAATCTTTGCAGATATGTACCCCTGGCATAACTAGTGTACTGTGGTCCCATCTTTCAGTGTGTTTTCTGCCACTGCTGACGTCCAAAATATGTTCATAGGGAAAGTGGAACATAAGAAAGAAAAAACAAGATCTCAGTGGTAATTACTGTGGCTGTGATATGAACAGGGGCCACCTGCAGATCACAGAGCAGCTGGCAGGCCTACATCGTCTGAGGGTGAGTGTGTATGTGTGCATGTACACAGTGGCCAGCTGACAGGGCTCGCTTGAAACAGTCACATAATGCCAGACAGGATATATACATAAACAGTATAATCTGCAAGTACTGTTGAGAATCTAGAGCAATTATGAGCCATGAGATACGCACTTACTGTAAAAAAGGGAAAAAAAGCTGCATTATGAACAACAAGACTCATATATGCAGGCAATTTAGACATCAGTTTTACCCCCTAAAGTGTAAGGGTCTGTATGGGGGACCACAATTGAAATCCTCACTCTCATAATTGCAAAATTGCCATTTTTAATGATAGCAGTTGCTGAATAATTAGGGGTAATTCTATTAAAATGTAAAATACTGTACGTAATGCAATCCTAAATCCAGCAGCTGGACATAATTGACTAGCAAAAACAAGCTCATCTATCGCAGTCTGTTGGGCAACAACCACTTCATTTTCTCCATGAAGATTTCACTGAGAATATCCATTGGTGTTGGGCACTGAAGATGAGCCAATCTATTGTGCTTGTGAATCTATAGATTTGCCCTTGTTCGCTTAATACACCCTTCTGCCTTCTCCTATTCAGCCCAGGGCCCAGAGGAGAAGGGCCTGGAGTGGTTAATAGTATTGAACCGCTTCCTTTTAAAAGGCGGTGTTGCGTGACACCGAGCCAAATCGACAGTGTGTGTGGTGGGCAGCACTACAAGATCAAATGGGTCAATGAAGGAAAGTTTGAGAGCGAGAGGCAGAAACAGTGAAAAAAAAAAAAAAGAGAAAGAAATGCAATTTGCCTCTCAACTCTGCGTGTTGGTGGGGAATAAAACCTGCCATAAACCTCCACTGCCATGTTCAACTGACAAGGCTCGTAAATATGTAACCCATAAAAATAAGAATGAACTGCTTCTCAGCTCAGCAAATATTCATAACATCCAAGTGGCGATTGGACGGACTTGACCCTCTCGTACTCATATGTGGTCAGCTCTCGTGAAACAATGATGTCATTGTATATAATGAGCTGTAATTTTGGGATAATGAGCCAGACTGACAAGGTCCAGCAGCCTTTTGATTGGCTGTTGGCAGAATTACTGACCATAGTCCTCTAGTGGTTTGCACATGATGTCCAAGTGGGTGGAGCCAAAGGGGTTCCGGACAAATCTCCGCCTCCTCCTGAGGTCGTCCTCCCAGTAGTCCAGACGCCAGAAGTCATGCAGCTGACTGTGGGGAGGGAAGAGAGGAGATTATATTAAAAAATTCATTTAAAATACATGAGCACATTCTGTATGATGTCAAATGGTAAAAATGAGTCGTGCTACATTGTAACCATAGAACCCAAGGAATCAGTCTGACCCCAGACTAGGAATGACAATATTGTCAATAGGCACAATTTGCTAGTTTTGTAATTTACACCACATTAGAATGAGACGTACTGTAGGAGAAAAAAATATATATTCTTTTTATTTTAACATTTATTTATTTATTATTTTTTGTTGTATTATTTCTACTTTTTAAAATGATTTATTCATTAGCCCATTCATTTTTGTTTCATTCTATTTTAAGTAATTATTTATTCTATTTAATTCTAGTTTCTTTTAATAAACAAATTGTACTTTATTCTATTTGATTAATAAATTAATTGCTTATAAATTGTAATTACAACTATATAAATTAATTGTATTTTGTTCTATTTTACTGGTTTACTTTGCTTTAATTTATTTACTTTATTTATTTTATTTCAAATTATTTCAGCTTCTTTTATTGCTTAGCTTTGCTTTGCTTTATTTACTTTTTTATTGTTATTTACTCTTTTTATATTTATTTTTTGTTTCTTTATTACTTCTTTTGCTTAGCTTCTCTTTATTTTATTTCATTATATTTTTGTTCATTCTCTTTCTATTTTCTTCATTTTTTTCTTGCTTTGTTTTTTATTATTTTTCAAATTTTATTTCTAATTTATTTATTTTGTTCCATTATTTAACATTATGTACATCTGTGATGAGTGGCTATGGGATGCAGGAACACTGGAGTCACCTACGTCTCTTTCAGCTATACAGAAAAGAAGAACAACAGCACTGCACTAACTACAGGAGGCTGTATATGGTTAGATATAATCTCTCCAAAAGCCCCACGAAGCCTCACAGCACGACCAGGCCCTTCCAGGCAGCAGGAGCAGCACGCGTATAAATAACAGCCAGTCCCATTAACAAACACAGGATCAAATTACAAGTATAAATGGCGCTGCCTGCCTGCTTTTTTACGGTATTTTTTAACAAGTCTTGTAAATCAGAGGTAGGACCCTGTACGCAGACAGCGTGGAGTTTAATGATGGGGGGCTGGGGGGGGGGTCCTACCACAGCCGCAGCCCACGCCAATAAAACAGCCGCACCCCCCCCCCACTGCGTATGCGCAGCCGTGATTAAAATAATGTGCTGAAATATTCATCGAAATGATTCTCAGGGCCCTGGAGCAAGCCACAGAAAATTGCATTTTTATTCATTATTAATAACAGTGAATTAGGAGCCATATAAAAATACGAGAGAGAGACTAAGAGAGTGAGAGAGAGAGAAAGGGAAAAGAGGAAAGAAAAAAAGTGAGGCTCAGGCATGTGGTAACCATCTTTGTAAATGATTATTCCAACATTAGCAGGGACCTGGGCTAATTTTATTGCTTGCAGCTAATGCAAACCATTAAGGGCCGGGACTAGCATCAGGTTACTAAGTGCAGCTCGTTTCAGGCGCGCTCAGGCTGGAGATGTTTCAAAGGCTTCGGCCTCTCCTTCAGAGAGAGAGGGAAAAAAAGACAGAGAGAGAGAGAGAAATGAAAAGAAAGAGCCGGCGTTGAATAACGCGCTGTAGCTAATTTACTACAAAGAGGGTTTTCGAGTAGATGTTAAAGGAGAGTGATGATGGTGGTAATTGGGGAATAGATGACAAGATGGTCAGGGACAATCAACAAATTCCACACATGGTTTGTCTTCATTAGTGCAGTCACACATGAGGAAATGCACAGCCCTCCTGTTTGAACTCTTTGCTAATTTCTGTAATAAACTACAGTAGGGAGTCATTAGATTGTATAGTCTACAAATCTTGAAAGAACTTTAAATACTATGTATTGTATAGTAACACTTCTGGTTCCTTAGAGAAGCTTTCAATGGATGTTTCTTTAAAGGGAGCAATTCAAGCTTAAAACTAGAGTTTAACTGGCTGCGTTACGCAGTATTCTGATACAAGATTCAACTTTATTGTTATTATGCAGAGTACAGGTACAGAGCCAATGAAATGCAGTGTATTGCTGCTGTCGGAAGAAAACCATGCATCTCCAATTTGATCGTTTGTCAGTTTTTGACATCATTTGAAAATACCTGTTGCCCTCTACATTGTGTGAAATTTCATAATGACTAGACCAAACGAAATGGCCCAAAATTCCTTGGAAAAAATTCTGGTTCCATTGACTTACATTAAAAATAGAGTAAGTTTTTTGCTTCTACTGTAACGTTATCATTTTGGAGATATGAGGTTTTGTTCTGACAGCAGCGATGTATGTGTATATATATAGTAGCATCAGCATATACATAACAGTGGCCATAATTCTGCTGTGAATAGTGCTTTTTTATTGAAACACCAGCAGAAAGGTACAAAACAACACAGCATGAATAGTGTGGAGGTCATCACCAGCCATACATCTCTGCTTCACAACACTCACTACTGCCTAAGCCCAATGTCCAACACAAACTAACACAGGTAACACATACACTCATTTTAAACTAACAGACCACAACATTAACAACAATAAACAGCCCCTTTTCCAGAGTTGTGCACCTTCCATGAGCCCCCTTGCATGGCCCTTCGCATAGCCACACCTCTCAAGCTTCTCAGAGGCAGGGCAGCCAGTAGCAGGATGCTATCTATAAATTCATATTTACTTTCATCAATGTTCCCTCACTACAATACCCATCATGCATTATGCAAATACATCATACAACCATTGGGAATCCCTGGGTTGTCAACCAATCCTGACTGCTAGCCTAGCAAGTGATCTTTACGTTTCTATTGCCTGAGGTGTTGAATGAAATCCTTAAAATAACAGTAATTCTATCATCATTCAGCACAAAATATATGTTAACCCTGTGCCTTCCTTCTGCATTCTTCTGCTGGCATCTTAAAACAACCCTTCCAGCTAAAATCCACCCCAAAACAGATACAGTTTTAGTTTTTTCAACAGTTCCTTTCACCAAGAGACATCATCAGAAGGGGATTTCCTAGCACTAAAACTAGAGAATCTCACTCAAGAGACTAGAGAGACTACTGCAACACTGATGTCGCAAAGGTTACATTTTTCACTTTGTATGTTTTTTTTTGTTTGTTAAACGAGAAATTTCACAATACAAAAGAGAAATTTCACAATACAAATGTTCTTTAGCAACTGAAGCTCTTTCCCAGAACCGTACATCCAAGCCAAGAACCATTTAGAAAGCTTTATTTGAAAGACTGGATACTGTAAAATTGGAACTTTGTTCAATTTGAAGTGAAGTAAAAACTTGTTTAGGTTGAAGTGGGTCATAAATTTGCGCAGTATGAAGTGGGCCGAGGGCTATTTCACGGTTATGTGAAGAACAAAGTCAGACGAGCTTCTCTCCACCTACAGCAGAAAACAGAGCAAAATGTTCCCCCATGTTCCTCCGATGAGAAACTCAGGAGAAAGAGACAACCTCGGAAAAAAAAAACAACAACAATAACGGCCAGCCCACTCACTCCAAAACATGAGGCAGCCATTACAAAGAGAGGCTCGTTTCCAAGCACTGGAGCGCTACCTCCAGCTATGGGCTGGGGCAGATTGTATAGAGCTCTCTGCACCCTGCCATAATACTGAGGCAGACTAAACAGATTAAAGTGTTACGGAAGGATCACGTCAAAAAAAAAAAAATCACAAAAGGTCTTTCCTTGCTGTGCGAATACATCTACAAATGTCAGGAAATCAGGAGGCTCCAGAGACTCAGCCGGCCTCTGACAGCGACGAGAGATCAGCCTCAGTTTAGCATCAATCAAGAGGGTGTGCAGTTGCGTTGGGCGGTGGGGGGGTATATGGAATAAAGGGTCCTTGCATGCATGAGCTGCATGCCAAAGGTTCATCACACGCCAGGGTATGAAAAGCAGTACGCAGCGCCAGGGCCTTGTCTGCTGTCAATCTGGACCCAGAGAGAGGCCTCCAGAATGAGACGTCAGGCCAAAGCCGCCTAAATGACATTGTAAACGTGAGATTACGGTGTAAAAAAATGTAAATCCCACGCAGGCAGCCAAGTGATTACCGTCTAAGATTATAACCTCCAAATCTGCCTGCAAACACAGCAGCGAAAGCTAGCAAGGCGGAAAAATCCAAGCTTTGAAGCCCGCCGCTCTCCAGTCTTAGTCTACGTATGATGAATCTGATTCGCTTTGACAGCAGTACGTTGCCTGTGAATGGCAAGTTCAGAGAAAAGCCCAAACATTTTTCTTTTTCTTCTCCAAGAGAAAGAAAAAAAAAAAAACAGGGAATTAAACGCTAAGCCGAGCAAAGCAAATTTATAAGGGATGATAAACCAAATGGTATTCGATGACAACGTTTTCGTTCCTCTAACCCATCTTTCCGCCGGAGCATATGCTTTCACTTTGGAGGCGGTTTCCGCAGGATGGGAAATGAGGTCCGGTGATACGTTAAACCTCATGGTCAACATCGAGCCGGATTCTGCATGTGCCAAAAGTGCCATGATGATGGTCTGCACACCCAGGGTGGTCCGGTTCAGAGCTCCCCCAACCCCTCCACCCCACACCCTGACTCGAGGGGGGAGGTTTGGTTCCCACAGGAATGTTCATCACAGGGAAAGTTTTAACACACTGAAATACAACATTATGAGATGTTCAACACTTAACTGTCCTGAGTGGACTGACAGAAAGCAGCCTTCCAGCTAGACATCAAATGCTAGTGACCTTTAAATCTTGCAGTTATCATCAATAATAAAAAGCATGTTGTAATTTAGCATTCGCCAACACGCTATATCATTTGATTATGATTTGCCTTGGTGTATACATATATGGTGTAGATGGTCATACACTGTTAGAAATAAAGGTTCTGTGCAGGTACATTTTACATTTATCAGGGTACAAACAAGGTGAGAAAGAGATTTGTGAGTATTAAGAGTCTTTTAAAGGTTTACACAATATAACGGTTCCATACCAGTTTAA